CCCTCCCCTAGCTATGTCCCTGTTACCATACCTTTGTCCACATGGATCACTAGAATGTTGTAGTTGAATTATTTAAGTGTAAATTAAAAATGATATACATGTTTGGACCAATCAAGTAAATGCATGGTAGATACGATACCCCATTTTTAAAACATAAAAAGTTTAACTATTAGCTAGCTAGTTTTAACATGTTCATGAGTGACATGCATGTTTATGCGTCTCATGTATATATGTTCGATAAGATTTCAGCGGTCGACTATTTCTCAGTGACATAAAAAAGCTAAGTCAGGAGTCAATATATTGAAACAATTGCTCACAAAAACACCCTAAAGAGTGACCACAGTCCACAGACGCCAAGTTCCCTCCAAATAGGGGGCAATACTTAAACATTTGACCTAACTTAAATAATATTATATTCGGTAGAATAATAATATACATATACCAGTAATGGCAGAGCAGAAATACATGTTAGAGATAACCGCTAATTTAAATGAGTCCTACAAATTTATTGGGAAGATGATTCACAATAACTTGTTGGCTTGTTGTGAATAGGTGTTGATGCATTTAATATTGCATGCCCTCAAGCTGAAATTGGGAGTTTGCATATCATTAGTAACGGTCTTGCAATAAGCTGAAGTCATTCAATAAATGACTTTGCGAGATCATTTTGGGTATGAATATGTGTTACAGGATGTTCTACTTTTATCTCTATGGCCATACAATAATCATTAAAAGCTTAGGATGTGAACTCACCGACATTATCAAGATGAATTATTTTAATTGAGTGATCAGAAAAGTGTGCTCTTAATCTAATCAATTGAGCTAGTAATCTCGCAAACGTAAGGTTGGGAGTTGATAACAAGGATACATGCATGTGACCATCTAGTCGATGCATCAATTAAAACTAAGAAATATATAAATGGTCCGCATTGTGGATCAACTGGTCGACATATATCGCCTTGGATACATTCTAAAAAGGAAAGTGGTTTTGTTCTAATTTTAGATGGTCTAGTATTAATTTTGGTAGAGAATATATAGGCACAGAAGATAACTCATTAGATTGAAGAATCTTCTAATTTTTGAGTGAGTGTCCACATTATATACTAACAATTCTTTACATCATTATCGATCTGGGGTGGCCTAACAGGTCATGCCAAATGGCAAACTTCGAATGATCCATAAACTTCTGATTTATGGTCATATGTGACTCAATTGTACTAAATTTGGTGCAGTACAAACCAGATGAAAATGCGCGCAATTTCTCTAATACTCTTTTAATACTTAAGATTTTATTGATTATGTAGAGATATTTAGTATCTCCTTCTTTAGTTATCTCAATGTAATACCCATTTGGGCGTATATCTTTAAAACTTAACACATGTCTCTTAGATTTGGGAGAATACAATGCATCACCAATATGGAATATAAACTTCACATAGCTAATAAGCGAGAATGTTTTAAATTGGACTTTAATTTTTTTGTGTAGTCTTTTTTTGAATTGGTCTGGTGCGTGTATGTTATATGTGTATATGACACATGTTAAAATCTGATCTGGTCTTATTTGATTTGGTCTGATTTTGTTTGACATGTTAAATATCGTCTTGTTTGATCTGGGACTGAAACATGTCCAATTAAAAACATCTTGAGTAAGACGTTGTTTTAAAAATTTGAGAATATAACTAATATCAAATTTTGCTTATTTCATTCTCACGTGGTGTTAATTTTCTAGAAATAAAAGCTCTTGGGTCAGAATGACATATGAGTCAATAGTCATAAATACTGAGTACTCTACGTGCTCGAATATTCAAGAGCCTGACTAACTATCCTGACCACTAAGCCGCACCCTTACATACTAGAGTAAATTAAGCCAAGTGAATTAAGCCAATTGAATTAAAACAGACTAGGTCCAAAAAAAACTCAAGCCAAGTGAATGCATCACCCGTTTGTGAACACCGAAATTGATTAAATAGGATAAAATTTATGGAGTTCTGGCTGAAATGGCTCTATTGATTGATTCTGTTGATTTATGAAAAAATTATATTTATAATATTTTTTTTAATAAATACAGTATAATAAAAAATTATATGAAAAAATAGTTAAATTGATCCTTTACGGTAACTTCAGCTAATACAGCCAGAAAAATAACTTCAACTTTACTTTTTCATATTATTAGATAATTTAACGTGCGAAATTAAAAATTAGTGCGGTGAAAAAGTGGCTGATAAGCAAAAAAAAAGAGTTACAAACGGCTCTAAATTAAAGATTACGTTATAAGCCGTTTACTCTTTGATACATGATGCATAAAGTAGGTACACAAAGTTATTAGAGGTGCTGAAGTTAGGGAGGGGCACGAGAGAGCTTGACTACTTGACTTCCACAATACCTTTATTTAGATTACATAGGTAGTATATTATCTTAAGTTTGTCCGGTATCGTAGTATTTAGGTTATTACTATTCATTCTTACTTTATTCACACTTTATCAATTCAATATCAATCATACAATTCCACTTTTTCTTAAATGTTGTACTACACTTTCTTGTCCCGAACATAGTGGGAGGGAGGTAGTATTATATACAAATATGCATATACGTAAGTCATAAATTTATACTTTCACATTATTAAGTTTAGGCTTCGTTAAATAATTTTCTTAACTACACTAGTTACTCGTATAAGTTAACAATTAACAACCAAACATAGGTTTTGATTTATGGTAAAGTACGAGCACATAGTAGCAACACAAAAAGGATTCAACATACCGGTGGGCGTAGCTCAACTGGTAGCAAGAGAATTACACAAGGGTTAGGTCTCGTGTTCGAATCTCAGCAACTGCGATGAAGGTTACTATGCTAAAAATGCATAGGGCCTCTATAAGTACCGGGGACAGAGGTCTACACTCTATCTGTCAGATTGGGATTATAATCCAATTTACATCCTCCCAATGTACCGTCCGGTCGGGATTGAGGGCTCTCAGGGATGGAGTGTCATCCTTTTTTTTACAAAAAGGATTGGACACGTTTACTCTACAACATATTACTCTATAAAGTAGATTACTCTCTTCCTTATCGCTATAAACTATAAAGTACTCTTTTAGATACACGAATATTGAGAAATGAGAAATGAATAAAGTTTCCAAAAAGTATCTAAATACTATGTATTTAGTAAAAACTCTCCGTATGACATCTCTATTTATAAGATTACTTACGGATTAAGTATTTGATAAATTATTTTTGAGAATATGATTGAGAACGATTACTTAATGGGATTATATAGTTTAATCTAAAAGCTCTTTTGATAACGCTTGTATTGCTTGAATCGATCTCCTATATTTTTTAAAATTAGGCTTAATTTGGGATTAATCTGTAACACTGGAATTAGATGAATCGATTTGTTGAATTTTAAAGAATATGTTTCAAATATTTTTCATCCATAAATTAAAGAAAAAATTATAACAATAAAGTTGGAATAGTCATTTTCAACAATTTTAGTCAATGTACGGAGTATTTGGAAAAGTAACTTCAAGCTTACGTATTTTGATTATGTTGATAATTCAGTGCACAGAATCAAAACTTCATTTTATTTTATGATAAAAACTAATTAGCTGATAATTTTGTCATTTTGATAAGGCAAAAACTATGCAAGTATATGTTTTCAAACAGACTCAAATTTTGAATCAAGATTATACGGAGTATGTAAGTTTAGAGGTAATTAGTAATTGTAGGACTTACCAAATTCTTATTAAAAACAAAATAATATGAAAACACTTTGAATATTGGAATCATAATAAATCTAGTTAAGTGATAAGCATGATGGTGAATGTTATTACTGAAAACAAGACGGGACTCTGTATGTAACTTTCTAAAAGTAATAAAGTACTCCGTTCTCAGACAACTTCCCACTTTCTTTTTCGGGAATTCCCGAAATTAACTTCACATTTATTCTTATTTCTTTATTTGACAAATTATCTACACCAAAACAGTGCAAAACAGTGCCAAACAATGTCTAAACAGTGCCAAACAGTGGACTGCACAGTAAAGTCAAATTTAATTTCTTAAATTGTGTGAAGTCAAAGTGTGAAGGTCTTTGAGAACCGGAGGGAGTACGTAATAATTTACTTTGTTATGTATAGAGTAAAGACTATAAAAGGGTTCATTTTTAGTCATATAAATGATAATGTTGTATTCTTTTTTAGTCATATAAAACAATCCTTTTTAAATCATTACATATAAGTAAGGATGTTTTTACTTGGACCGTAATTCCTCTCACACCAGACCAGTTCAGACCAAACCAGACTTGGATAGTTATTAAAATACAAAGAAACCAGACTAGACCAGACTAGCAAATTACAATCCAAGTAAAAACATCTTAAATGGTTGAAAAGGATGAAAGTAATACTACGTATAATGTTTTCTATAAAATACTTTCCCTTCCATCTATTATCTTTATCAGATTTTATCAACGCAATATCAAATATAAAAACCAATTTTCTGTTTGATAATCACATGGTACAGAGTACCACGTAACGTATAAGGGAAGTTGCCCTAAATAGGACTAAACAAGTTTTGGAATTCCAAAATTTGACTACTGTATTTTTCTTCACGAAATAGGAATCGTTACTCTCATGATTCAAAAACATTATCGTTAATGAATATGAATATTTTCATGTTGAATGCCTTGTACTGCAAATATTTGATAGTAACGACTAGAAGATGACGGTAAATGCTGTCTATTTTAAAATTTCAAATTCATTTACTCCTATTTTGGGAAATCTATTTTGGGAAAATAAATCTCCCAATATATAATAATATATTGTCAGAGTTTGATTTTGTTTCTAATATTAAACGGCAATTAAAAGGAAATAAAAGTGATCAAGTGATAATGGTAACAAAGTTGACTGAATACGTCATACATACTATGCATGTCCCACACACTTTTGTTCGTGGAGCTGGAGGCTGGAGCAACATATAAAGAAGGAGCCCTTTGCCTTCACATTTGGCATTCCAATCCAACAAAAAGTGTATCTATACACTCCTTATATCATTATTATTATTACTATTTTGTTATATTAATATATATATATATATGGCTTCTAGTAAAAGTTCAGGCGGCGGCGGCGGCGCGAATTGGAGTTCAAAGGAGAACAAGGCGTTTGAAGAGGCATTGGCGGTGTACGACCAAAGCACACCTGACCGGTGGTCAAACATTGCCAAGGCGGTGGGCGGCGGAAAGACGGAGGAGGAAGTGAAAAGGCATTACCAAATCTTGGTTCGTGATATCAACTACATTGAGTCCGGCCACATACCCTTCCCCAACTATCGAACCGCCGCCGCTTCTCCCCCCGCCTCCTCCCATCGTCGTTCATGATCGGCCGGCGGCCTTCAATTAATTACGTAGTAATTTAAATATGAATAATAAATCATGCATGCATCCCTCTGCCATCGCGGCCATGCATCTTGGCTTATATATTATTCCATTAATTAATTAGTTAATTTTCGTCAGCTGTCAAGATAATGCATGCTTTGAATTCATGATTGCATCCTCCAATAGTTATAAAGGATCAGTGTGTAAGTACTAGCTTAATTAGTACGTGCGTGATTCTTTAATTTTGAATTTTTGGACCGGAGCTACTATAAATATTATACTACGTACTCCGTAATAATTAATACGTAGTACTACGTAAGAATTATTATTATAATAATAATAATAGAGTTTTAATAGTAATAGTAATCATAGTAATAATGCAGGCATCACCATTATGTATAATAGACTTATTTTTATGTTTCAATATATATTCAACGTCGTTTTAATTTAATTATATATGTGTGTTCTGTGAATATATATACTCGTTCTATTTCAATCCTGTGCAACGATATACTCATTCTTATTTTACAAACCAAAATAACAAACCTGGTTTTAGGGATTTTTTTGAGAACGCAACTTTATTGTCCCATCATGGTGCATTTTAATCAGTATGTTTGACTTTTCCAGTCAAATATCACCTCTGTCCCAAATTGATTTGCAAATTTGACTTTTCTTAGTCAAACAGTTTCATTTTATTTGCTTAATTAGGATGTCAATATTTAATAATATTCTAATTTGAAGTTTACAACTTTGAAGAAATTTTAATATAGTTTATGAATATATAAATTTTAATAATTAAAAATGGAATTAATTATCGATAGGGAGCATTGACTTTTTTTATTGGTTGACCAAAAAATATTGACTTTGCAAAACAATTTGGGATGGAGGGAGTATTATAAACTTTAACCAATTTTTTTAACTAATACAGTTATTCAAAATTTATAATTGTATATGATCTTATTATATATGGTAGTATTTTTGACAATAAACATTTTTATATTATAATATATGAAAATATATAAACATTTAAATATATAATCGGTCAAAGTTAAACATCATTGATTTGAAAAGTCAAGTTTAGCTAATTAATAACTACAATGGGACGGGGTAATAATGACCAAAGTAATTATGAATATAAGGATTTCCCCTCAGAGAAATTACTGATGAAATGATATTTATGAACAAAATAATGAATAAAGTAAATATGAATATACCTTCAAGCTAGGTGACTATATAACCATATACTCCGTAGAATTGAACATACATTACAATATACTTCGTATATAGTCTTTAAAATATGTGTTGGAACTTGGGGTATTGGGGTCAGGCCCAATAATCCGAACCAAAATATCCTCGAGGCCCAAAATATATAAACCCAATGAATACTAGACAGAACAGTAGATTCCCGAATGGGCTCTTGCGAACTGGGTATTTCCCGTTCGGTTATACCCGAACGGGTTGAGTATAATAATACTTGACGATAAGGAGTGTCATTTATGGTTGCTGAATAGATTAGCCCAAAAGTTGATCGAGAAGCCTTACAAGTGGTAAGGGGCGCATTTAATGATGAAGCTAAGAGCATCTCCAATGGGAGTATGAATTGCTAAAAAATGGATTGCCACATCATATAAATAGTCTTTGAAGTATACGTATTCACTCCAACGGAAACATGGATTTTCTCTGTGCGGCTGAGCTGGAAAGGAAGAGAACGCACACCGTCTATCACTCTATCAATTTTCAGCAAGACTTTCAGAAGCTCTCACTAGACAAAAATTTATTTTACTACGTAGATTAATCGGAATCGTAATACTCCATACTTCCATACTTCCATACTTCATTAACCAAACAAAAGATAATACGAAGTATCTCTCCGGCGAGGCGGCAATGCATCACCCGCTGCAATAGTACTAAACGGCAGGCACCCCTCCTCTAAGCAGCTGCTGCAGACCCTTTTTTCCCGGCAATATTCTTTTCCGGCACGTTTTGTTTTCCGGCAGCAATCAACATGAAGTTTTTCCTCACCGCTCTCGTGATGATTTTTTGTGGCTATGACTGCAAACAAAAACGCCGCCGCCGCTGTTGAATCGATGGTAGGCACACCGGCCCCTGCGTTATCCTCCGATGCTATCGGTTTCATTCCTTTAGCTTTGGCACCTCCGGTGCGTAGTTGTGGCTTTTGGATTGCCCTTCTACATTGTGATCTGGTCTCTTCAAACTACTTCGTATTACTTATGATGTTAGGTAGTAAGTACTATTGTTTCTTGGATATATACCTTCGTGATATACAGACCATTTCATTTGATCAGAAAACATCAATTTTAAGCAGGCCAGACTACTTGTTGTATTAGAGGCTTCCTTGGGAGATGGTTGTTCTTCGATTAGAGTTCCACTACAAAACTCCATTGGAGATGAAATATGGTTTTAATCGTGCGTGAGGCCACATGAGGTTCATAGAATGTCCATCTGGATGACATGTCCATTTTTCATAGGATACAATCCATTTTACCATTAAAGATGCTCTATTAAGTATGGGTACTCAAGTGGCAAAGAAGTCACCCACTCAGGGTTGGCCACGTCATCCATCCCACCTACACATTTCTAGTATAAATAGTAGCACTTATTCAATTGTAAAGGGTTAGCATTTTGATACTCACTAGTAATATACTACTCCCTAACTCCGGTATTAGCAACTGGGCGGGAAATCCCGTTCGGCCATTTCCTTGTAATCTGCAATATTACTCTAATACAGTTGGGCTATTGAATCATCTTTGCAGCGGATAATCTTTCCTATTTTCCTTTTCTTCACAAGCACTTTAAACATATTAAAAGGAATGTGTTGGGCCTTTGGATCTAGACAAATTAACTTCAACACTGGCACCGTATGTGGGAAACTTAAACTAAGATCCCAATCAATGTACTCTACTCAGCAGCACCCCACAACTCGACAGCAACATGGTTATGATTTCATCTGAGCATGCTTATGACACCTTTGAGGAACTGAAAAGTAGTAGGAGGTCACACACCTGCACGACTACTGGCAGACCGGTAACGAATGGACGCAAGGCAGAGGAGGGGGATATCACTAACTTGATCCCCCGGGAAGCCAGGAGAGACCCTCGAATAATGAGGGAGTTAGCAGATACCATGTGCCGCCTGGCGGACGAGCAGGATAAGGAATGGACCGCGTACACGGCGGATATCGAGCGTACACCTCCCTCTCCAATCCGCCGCATGCAATCATTTGGTGAAAGAACCAACAAAGCAGAGTCCTCCCGTGCCTCGGTTCACACACGAATGGGAAGGGGAGGCCACAAGAGGGCAGATACGCCCAAGCACATGCAACACACCGCCACGGATCAAACGCCGTTCGTGCCCAGGCATGGGGCATAGTTTAGGGAAGCAAATCCCGTGGTGAACCCCATAGGCCGACGCTTCAAGTATGTTAAGGGGGGTGGTGGTCGTTTTATACAAAAAAACATGAAGTAGACGGTCAAGTAGAAAATATGAACAGAACAATCATGGACGGGATGAAAAAGAAATTTGAAGACTATTCTTCTACATGGCCAGATCAACTTAATTACATCCTATGGACGTACCGAACGACTCCCAAAACTGCAACCGGAGAAACGCCATTTGCTTTATCATACCAACAGAAGTATGAGTGCTCAAGTGGCAAAGAAGTCACCCACTCAGGGTTTGTCACATCATCCATCCCACCTACCCATTTCTAGTATAAATAGTAACATTTATTCCATTGTAAAAAGTTAGCATTTTGATACTCATTAGTAATATACTACTCCCTAACTCCTATATTAGCAACTGATCTGAACTCCCATTCGACCATTTCCTTCTAATCTGCAGTATTACTCTAGTACAGTTGGGCTATTGAATCATCTTTGGAGTGGATAATCTTTCTTATTTTACTTTTCTTCACAAGCAATTCAAACATATATTTAAAGGACTGTTGGAATATTAGAGGTAGAGGCTAAGTATTTTAGGACGTTATGAAGTAAATTGTGTAAGTAGAAAAAGCTTTTAGCTAACTAGAAGAGAGGATGGAAGAAGAGAGAACTTGTATTTTATTGCTTGAAGATTTCTTAGCTTGATGCTTGATTACAAATGAGCACAACTACACCTATTTATACTACTCACATCCACAATAAATGGTGGAGAGTTCTCTAGAATTCTCCTTATCTAGAATACTCTATTATTAATTATTCTCTAGAATGAATCTAGAAGTCTCACACTCTAGAAACTTTCTAGAACATTTCTCTCTAGAACACTCCTAATTATTTTGGGCTTTGCCCATTACAACAATCATCAATTATTAACTTAGCCCAAAATCAAGTTTACATTCTAACATCCCCCCCTTAAACTTGATTTCCAACTCCGAGCATTCTTCTCAATCGCTTGAAGTCTTCATGCTTGAGAGGTTTTGTAAGAATATCCGCAACTTGATCTTGTGACCTCACATACTTCACTTGGACCTCCTTATTCTCGACACATTCACGAATAAAATGGTAACGAGTATCAATATGTTTAGTTCGGTCATGATAGATGGGATTTTTTGCAAGTGCAATGGCCGACTTGTTATCAACATAAATCTCAGTTTCATCTTCTTGCGGCATGTGAATTTCCTTCAATAATCTTCGAAGCCAAATGATGTGACATACACATGACGTAGCAGCAACATATTCAGATTCACAAGTCGAAAGTGTCACAATGGGTTGCTTCTTTGAAGACCATGTGAAAGGCATATCCCCCATGTAAAGTACAAACCCGGTTGTACTCTTACGGTCATCAATATCTCCGTCCCAATCGCTATCAATATAACCAAACAACTTATAATCTTTAGAAGATGAGTAAGTCAATCCAAAGCTAATCGTATCTTTTAGGTAGCGTAGAATCCTTTTGGCGGCCTTCATATGGATAGATGTTGGAGCTTCCATATAGCGGCTAATAAGTCCCACTCCAAAAAGAATATCGGGCCTCGTACATGTTAAGTAGCGCAAGCTCCCAACCAAACTTTTGAACACAGTCGGATCAACTTTATCCCCTTCATCAAACTTGGAGAATTTTGTCCCATAATCGACTGGTGTGTCAATCGGCTTGCACCCATTCATCTTAAATTTCTTGAGAATTTTTCTTGCATAACCTTCTTGGGAAATAAATATTCCTCTATCACTTTGATTGACTTCAATTCCGAGATAGTATGACATAAGTCCCATATCCGTCATCTCAAATTCACGGCTCATTTCTTTCTTGAAAGCATCAAACATACTTGGATTGTTACCCGTGAATATCAAATCATCCACATATAAGCACACAATCAAAATATCCCCATCTTCATTTGTTTTTACATAAAGGGCATATTCACAAGGGCACCTTAGAAAACCATTTTCTTGGAAGTACTTGTCTATTCTATTATTCCGAGCTCTTGGGGC